AATAAAATAAAATAAAATAAAATAAAATAAATAAATAAATAAATAAATAAATAAATAACTGTTGCTTCCTGTCCCACATATAGGTTTCTCAGGAGATAGACAAGGTGGTCAGGCACTCCCATTTCTTTAAGGACTTGCCATAGTTTGCTGTGGTCCACACAGTCAAATGCTTTTGCATAGTCAATGAAGCAGATGCTACACATACCATGTCATATAAATCAATTAACTTTCTATCCTGTTTCTGAATTCCCGCTGTCCTAACATTTTATTTTTTTAAAAAAATTAAGTGATATATCGTTATTTTCCTGTCACTTCCAACTGTTAGTCAATGCACAATTTGGTGGATTATATCACTTGTGGCCAGCCCTCCCTCCCTCCCTTCTATCCTCCTCCCCTTTTCCCTTCCCTCCTTTTCCTTTTGTCTCCCTCCCCTTTTGTCTTCCTTCTCCATTCATCACTTTTTCCTTATTTTCCTGCAAATCTCTTCCTATCAATTCTTGGCTTTCATTTTCCTTTTCCCCTTTGAACAGTGCAGGGGGGAAGAAGTAGGTTTTAAAAGACATGCAAAATATTGTGAGGAGCAAAATATTTTTGAGGAGGAGAGAGAAACGTTAATGCAACACCCATATCTTTCTCCCCTCAAACAATTCCAAGCAGGAAGCAGCTCTTTCTCTGCTCAAGCCCTCTTTCCCTTTCTTACACTCGCAAGGGGGGTGGGGAAGGCTGTCTCCTTATGAACAATGTAGTTTGAGTTGCTGCTTCTGCTGCTGAAAGAAATGTTCATGGATACAAAGTGATTTATTGCTGAGCATTTTTTTTAATTAAAGGGTACAAGCACAGCGGCCATGCAATGGTTGTGGTGCCCCAAACCCCAACCCCTTCATAAAGTAAATAAATCAACAGCAAAGCCCTGAAATGATAAGGAATAACAGATACAGAGTTTGGATCTTTTTTTAAGGGCCATGTCAGCAAGGTGGGAAAAAAATCTGATTGGCTTGCCAAATGAATCTATGTTACCCGTGCATCATGTGAATGGAAAATTATAAAATGTTGTAAAGAATGGGGGGATCAATATAAATGGGAGTCTTTTGACATGTGTGATTGCACCCTAAGCAAATATTTTCAGCTTAAAATAGATTGCTTCCGGGTGGTTTTTGTCTAGTGTTGCAGCCGAAGCAATTCCATGTTCTGCGTGTTTCCTGAGAAGTAAGTTCCATTTGGTTTAGCTGAGCTTACTAGCAAATAAATGTAAAGCCGTGCAGCTCAGCCCTATGAAATATTTAATCAGAAGAAAATTCAAGGACACACATTCCCAAGTAAATATGCCTCTGACTGCAACCATAATAGACTTTACATGTATGCAATGGGGATCACATTTAAGTCTAAGACTGCAATTCGAAGTAACAGAGCCTGGGGGACTATTTTGAAAAAGTAAGTTGTCATTGATCTAATTAAAAGGACTCCCATTAAGTAGTTAATTTTTGTTACATTCAGAATTGATAGAAGAGACAAAACTTGAACTATGTGCTATTTCTTTTCTCTACTAGTTAGTGAGTCCACACACCCGTTAACTATAAAAGGAATGAAAATCTTACACTTACACTGCATAAGGAGGAAAATGATATCTTCTTAAGTTACAATCCTACCTTGGAAACCAGAACTAATTACAAATACCTCATTTCATAGAATGAGTTACTTCTAAGCACTAACTTGTACTTATGGAGTTTCTTATGCCTTATTTATGGAGTTGCGTGGAAATTAATTCCCAGAGAAGCATGCCAAAAGGGGCAGATGTACATGCTTGCAGATGCCCTCTGGAAGTTCCAGGACAGCAGTCTCTGTTCTTGGGCCACTTGAAATAAAAAATGTGGTATGAAATCTTTTCCTCGTGGCTGTTATTCTTGGCACAGATGAGACCTGCGCTGTGGGAGGCCCCTCCTTCAGGAGTGGAACGTTGCTGTGTAGAATGTCTTGCTGCAGAGATATGCCATTCCAGCCCACACCCCAATTTTCTATTTTGCCCCAAAATTCAGATTTCTGTACCCATTAAACATGCTTACTCCCCACGGGGGCTCTTCTGAAGTCCCTCCTCATTCCAGAATCCTTTTTCTAAAGGTTCTTCATTCAAAGAAACAGCCAGGGAAAGATAAAATTGGCCACAGGTCTAGTGGCAGGACAATCCAGACTAGCTTACCAAATAATTACATATGCTTCAAAGGAGGTTAGGCCCCCTTAAGTAGCCATGTACCCTTCCGTGAGCCTGCCTCATCGATGGTGGGAATTCGTGTTTAGAAAATTACATCTACCCATTTTAGCTATTGGAGAATGGGTGCTTGCAGAACTGAGGGTGTGACTACATGGGGGAATTTGGAGTGATGTGGGTCACATTTAAAAGGCTCTTATATTCAATGCAATCTGTTTCATGTCCCATTTGAGCAATCCTTCCATTTACATGGGATGTGTTTCTTCTTCCATGAGAAGGATCCACATAGCACTTCAAATCACACCAATTTAACCCCCTTTTGATTGTTTATGCTCCCTCCCCTGTCTCCTCCGTTCTCATGGCTGTCATTCCGTAAGCTGCAGTGACTTCCCTTTTTTGATTTGTTTTTTAATTTAATACGTGGCATGCAGCAATACATCAATCTAGCATGAAAGCTATCTTATATCCGAAATAGCAGTGTGTCACTTGGGAAAACATTCTAAATATTTATGAGAAGCTGAAAATAGAAGCGAGGGTCTCTCTACTGGCCTTTCTACTCTCGCAACCCACTGCGTACGTCACAGGTTTGTCACCAAGGGGAACGCCACACACAACTCGAGCAGATGAAGCAACCACACAGACTGCAGAATGAGATAATAAGGAGCACTCCCATTTGCACCAAATACATGGTAGCAGAACAGGAAATGAAGGAGCAGAACAGCTTGCAAAAGGGGCAGGATGGATTGCTTACCTAAAACACACGTGGTTGCCAGAAAATAGGACAAACCAAACTGCACCAAAAGCAAACCAAATCGCATGCTACACTATGCTCGTCTGATTGCCTCCTGAAATCACTATTCATTTGTAGAATTATGACTTTCAATGCAGGTTTCTACAGGCTTATGTAGTCAGCCAGCCACACCATTTGAGACACAATCATTCTTTAGAAAGACTTTTAAAACTCCTAAAAAAAACCAAGCAGGAATGTACCGGTAACCCTGAGGCAGAGCATCCAAAATGGGTAAAGCAGCAAACCTCCACCATTGCAGATGCTGCCTTTAACCTCTAATTGTGCCACAGGTTTTCTCTTACAGTCATTTTTTCCAGCTCATGGGAGTGGAGGAAGGCAGAAAACATGATGTTTTTCCTTGCAGGAAAAAAAAATCAACTGAAGGGCAAGTATGGGGGGGGGTAAAGAACTGGCAGAAAACCATGGGGTTAAGCTCCTCTCCCCACTGCCTCCCAGCGTTTTTCTACCCTCCTCCCGAAAGCAGCATCAAGTGCTTGTTTTTTTGTTTTTAAAAACATAGGGTGTGGAAAATGTTTCACAGACCTTGATGAGAAGATTCATGTTTGACTAATTATGCCTCCAGAGAGGATTCCAGGATCTAGCAAGGCAGCCAGCTGGCGAGATTCCTCCTCTCCTGACGAGGTTCTATTAGACAACAGAAACAAAGGAGCAACAAAGGAGCGGGGGCTGGGTCTTCTCTAGCCAGTAAGACCACATAAGGAAGACCACAGAAAGTTCAGAGAGCAAGACATGTATCCCAGAAGATCATTGTTCAGTCTGATAGAAACAGATCATCAATCTGACCATCTTTGTACTGGCAAAAACCTTTTGTTATACTCTTTGCATGCCGTAGGGGTAAGATGCCAAACAGATTACAATAAAAAGCTCTCTGTTTTTTTGTCATCGTACAGAGAGCTGGTGTTTATCTGGAGGCCAGCAACCTGAAGGTAAAAATTGACAATGTTTCTGCAAACTCATTTTGAATCACAATGTTTTTACCAACAATGGGAAGGGCCTCTGTCTTGCTGACATGTGGTGTTTTTATTGAAACAATAATGTGACATCATTAGTATGTGTTATGACTCCATCAGCATGTATAGAGACATAATGTTACCTCTGCTAACTGGAAGAGACTGGATATATCAGAAAGATGTAGTGTCTGGGACTGAAGCTGTCAGATTACAGCACTCTGATCCAAAACTACTTGGAGGTGAAGTTCACTGGATCCCTAAAAATAAAATAGTGGGGTGTACCAAGCAACATGGTAAGAGGAAGATGACAGCAAGCAAGTCAGTACAGTGGACCCTCTACTTAAGGAATTAATCCGTATTGGAATGGTGGCTGCAAGTCGAAAAGTCTGTAAGTCGAATCTCCATTGACCTACAATGCACTGAAAACCCATTAATCCCATAACCAGTGGTTTTTATTCTATTTTTATTCCATTTTGGTTTTTTTCTGGTCTATAAGTCGATTCTCTGGCTGCAAGTCGAATCTAAATTTTGCAGCCAGAGAAGTCTGTAACTCGAAAAGTCTGTAAGTTGAGCCGTCTGTAAGTCGAGGGTCCACTGTACAACTATTACTGTATACAGATATCTTCATCATCATACACCACCAGGCACACCTAGATTAGTACTCCATTTGGGTCTATAGAGAGTGAACAAGAGGTAGATACGTATTTTGGGGTGATCTGTCATATGCAGACAAGGATTCCTGCCTCTCAACTCTTTAACACTAAAAGAAAGGAAAATTGAATACCTACCTATTTTAGGCTTCTGAAATGAAGAAAGTCTGTAGTAAGCGGGCGGGGGGAGGAGGAGAGAGAGAGTATCAAGACTATGAGCTGCATAGAGTAATGATATTCAAAACAAATTCCTGGGATTAGGTCTGTTGTATTTGTAAGTGTAGGTTTCTTTGTACCAGGTTCCAGCTGATGGATCCAGGGAGTTCTAACTTATATATACAGTATATAAATTCAGGGGAGAAGCGGGACAAAGCTCACGACTCTCTTGATTAGGCATCTGCACTGTTTCCAGACCAGTGTGCAAAATGGATCAAACTAGACCTATTTGTGCAAATGCAGGGCAACTACAGGGTGGAGCAAAGAGCTACTCTTCATCCTGGGGTGGAACAACACCCAATAGCCAATCCTACATATCCCATGCATTTGCTTAGAGTTAAAAAGATGGGTCTGTGAACTAAACTGAGGAAAGGAGAAATCGAAAGTAATACAGTAGCCATAGACCCGTCTGATGCCAAAGGAGAGGGTGAGAGACAGCAGGACTCACCCCCAACAACCCTGAATCGTAGCTATTTGTATATTCCTCCATTCATGGAAATTTCTTTTCTTTTGTTTTTTAATAGAGATCCAGAAATGCACAGATAGAAAGAGCCACTGCCATCCAGAGTGGACTGATCCTGATGAACTAATGGCTGTGTTACATAGTACAATGCAAAGGGTAGTCTAATGCAGGCGCAAGGAGCTTTCTTCGTGGCTCCAGCGTGGCTGCAGAATTAGGCAAAATCATTCGCTTCCATAAAGCAGTTATGATTTTGGTTTCCTGAGGCTTGAGAGGCTAGGGTTATTTAGAAGAGTATATAACAGCAGCCATCTTGTCCTGGCTTTGCTGGATATCCTGTAATCTGAAAGAAAACAAAGAACCAGAGTTTAATGTTCACTATGACCTTTTACAGCTCAGTTCAAAGTCCTCTCCATGATACAAGCAGGGACTGGCACGGACGAAGGACCACCTCTGCTGGCCAGCACCACCTCTGCCGGCCAGGATTTCTGGGAGTTGAAGTCCAAGAACATCTGGAGGGCCAAGGTTGGACAAGCCTGTTTTACAGCGTAGTTCAAAGTCCTCTCCATGATACAAGCAGGGACTGGCACGGACGACCACCTACAAGAAGCCACTGAACACAACCCGGTAGTGTCTGCCCTCATGTTCCTCAACAGCATATGTCATGATGCAGTACATTTTCCTAACATTGGTATTTAAAGTCCTCTCCATGATACAAGCAGGGACTGGCACAGACGACCACCTACAAGAAGCCACTGAACACAACCTGGTAGTGTCTGTCTCCAGGTATGACATGAGGGAAACTCCACCACTGTTCCTGCCCCCATGCTCCTCAACAGCATATGTCATGATGCAATACATTTTCCTAACATGGGTATTTAAGAGATAGAATATTTCCAGGTAAATATCTTCTACCAACACAGGGCAAAAAAGGGGAGAAAGCATTGTTAGCGTTCACCAAAATGGCTTACCTAACGTTGAGAGGTTCCAGTCAATGGCAGAATTTTCTAACGTTTCCTACTAAGACCTTAAAACGTTTAAGAACTGTTGAGAAATGTCGATCTCTCCCATGTGTTTACCCTTATATATACATCTGTCAACCAGCACTAGGTCCTACCTGTTGCATTGCTGAAGTTACGGAAGCCGGTGGCTTTTTGCTGCAGTCCTCCTCTGGTTGCAACCACAAGAACATGGCAAAAGCACACAAGGGTGGGATTTGTGTGATAGTGGTCCATAAAGAGCATCCCAATCCATGTTCTAAATCCTGCAGTGAAAATATAATACATTCAGGGAAGCAGGCTACATTTCTTCAGAAACCTCACTTGTTTTACTTTTTAGAATACAATGGTGCGACCTGGGTTCAAATTTGCTTCTTATTCTGGGGATAGCACGTCCATTACTCACAGCTAAGGATATATACCGTATCTTTGTCATTTCATTTTCCTGGGTGAGAATTACATTTTTTAAAAACTCTCCTCCACTTTGGGCAACATTAGAAGACTGTGGGTGCATTTTTTGCCTCTCTTTTTTTTGTGTGAAAAATCTACAGAAGCATTCTTTGTGGGGGGGAAAGTTTGCATTTTACATTAAAAGACTTTCTTTTTCCCCAGCGAGGTGTCAAGACACAACTTCTTGCAAGTGTATTTACTTCAGCCTTGCTCATGGCCACTGGCAGCTCTATTTGCCTAGGGCACTTTTAAAGCCATCACTCCCTCTGGGAAGGGCCGTTCCCCCTGTGAAGCATGAGAGAATGTTTTCCTTTTTTGTCCCTCTCACTATTCAGATTCACTGAATGACTCAAGAGAATCCAAGAACAAAAGGACACAAGAGAGTCGTCCTAGATGCACACAAAGGCCAGTCCAGAGTCTAGCCTGCTCTTACCACAGTCTCCTTTGCCCCAGACACCAAGGAAAAGCCCAGAACTTAAACATACGTACAACTAGATATGAGAAGATTTGAAGGAGGAAAAAAATGGAAAAATTAAGGAGGAAACCTCTGCCTCCTTTTTGCAGGGAAAATTGGGGGGAAGAAATTTTTCTGGTCTCCCTCCCATTTTCTGAATTTTCACTCAGCCATGCTCCTCTGATTTATGGACAGAGCTGTGCCTGGCACATGTTCTTGTTTCCCAAAATAGCTTGTGTCCCATATAGTTCATGAACATTAAAGAATCCTGAAGCAAAAGTTAAGTGCCAGTCTGCTTCTCTTCCCTCTGTCAGGCAGGCTGGAAGAAACACACGATTCTGTCCTTCGCTTCAGGCAGCAAAATGTCTTGGACCAGCCACAAGTAGATCTTAGGATGCATCTTATGTTTCAGACCAATTGCTACCCCTCAGTCATAAATCATGTTTTAAGCCAGAATGTGAATTATGTGGTCCCTGGGCTGTATGTGCTCCCAAGCGCAAATTTTCGTTTCCAGAAGCCCCAAGGAGCAGGAAGAGGGGGAGAGAAAGAATATTTTCCTTTTCCTTGCAAAAAAGGAAGGAAGTAAAGCTGCTCTCAAGGCAACATGATCAATCTCTAAAACCAGATATAGGTACCTCATATATATTGAGTCTGATTTTTTTAAAATAAATAGGGAACTTTCCACCTATTATCCTTTTAACTTGTTTTCAACTGTTTTTATGTTATCTGCTTAACTGTTTCTTAATTTTTTAATCTATTGTATTTTTAACTGACAACATTTATAAAGGTAATAATTTGTAGGTCACCTTTATTGACAAAAAAGGCAGGGTTTAAATAGAATGAATGAATGAGTGATAAAATATCCTCCAGCCCAAATTAAGCTGTTGAAAACATGCAGCCTTAGCTGGCTCTCTTCTTTATAGGTGGGTTTGTTCACTTGGTTGTTAGGTCTGGGCCAGAGGACTCGATAGACCTGCCTATAGACCTTACCTCTGTCTGCGTTTTCATAGCCTTTGGGCATGATGGTCCTGTCTATCCGTGCAATCAGCCAGGTTCCCACAAGGACACTGCCCAGCAACCGGAACAGGCAGGCACTCAGGCCCAGCAGCACATTATAGAAGAACAAGAAGTAATTGAAATTATGGAATGCCTTCCTGAAAACAAAGCAAAACAAAACATCATCATAGGAGACTTTTGCGGTGGCATATGGGAGTCAACAGATGAGAACAAGTGGTATTGTTGTTGTCATCTGTATGAAAATGCTTCTGGTTGGTTGGTTGGTCGGTCGGTCGGTCAGTTGGTTGGTTGGTTGTAAAATATTTTTACTCCACCTTTCTCCTTGTAAAGGACCAAAGGCAGCTTGCAACATTGAAAGACAATAAAGTTGAAAATAATGAATATGCAACAGTGGTTTACATCATCAAGATACAATATTTAAAGCTGAAAACAACGGGTATAAAGACGCATCTTACATCATTAAAAGGCAATATTAAAGCGAAGTACAATAAATATATGAATATTAAAAAGGATAAAAAGTCAGTCTAAGAAATGGAAAAACCCAAAATGGGAAACATAAGTGGTACTAAAAATCTAGTCAAAGCAGTAATGCATAACAATCTAAAAACTGCACACAGATGGCTAGTTACTGAGGGAAGGCTTTTCTGAAGAGAAAGTCTTTGCCTGCATGCAGAAGGATAGCAAAGATGGAGCCAGTCTGGCCTCCTGTGGGAGGGAGTTCCAAAGTCTGGGAGCAGCAACAGAGAAGGCTCTGTCCCATGTCCCCACCAAGTGCACCTGTGAAAGTGGTGAGACCAAGAGAAAGGCCTCCCCTGGTGATCATAACACCCAAGCCAGCTCATAATGGAATATATGGTCTTTGGTCCCAGACCATTTAGGACTTCATAGGGCAATAGAGAAAAGGAAAGAAGACTGGATGTAACCAGTTGTCCAGACAAGAAAAGGGTAGCAGGCTGACTCGAATTGAAACTGTGGTCAAGTGGACAAACTGTGCATGTTCTAGAAGCATTCCTGCATGGCAACCACAGACTGTACCTGCCCAGGAAAATCAGGGTCTGCCCCCTGCTTGCCTGTGTCCCCCCAGGTTCAGACCATGGGCACAGCCCACAAGGAAGATGCCTACAAGAAGGATGACCCAGGAAGAGATGGTGGGCTTTGAACAACGTGGCAACGTTGCTCCCATTGCTGTTACTGAAGGACAGATTGCCCATCAGGGAAGAGTTCTGTCTTGTGAGCATTGAGTGAATGAGGAAGAACGAAAGTGGCCTCTTGAAACCTTTGTCTTTTGTTGTCTTATGAATGAAAGCACTAAATGTTACACAAATAGTGTTTAACCTAAACATTTGGTGTACGGTCTTCTTGTCAGTCATCTGGTCAGGGTCTCTCTCCTCAGGATATAAAGAACATTAATTCCTCAAGTAACCTTCTCCTCTCTGTTTCAATAGTTTTTAGTTCTGGGCACAGCTTGTCCTGGGGAGCAGCTCCTCTTCTGTAGAGGCCCTTTGTCTCCAGCTTTCCTCTGCCTGAGGAATGCAAAGGGATCACAGCCAGTATGAGCTGAGGTCAGGACTCAGTTTTTGGAAGGCCCCCAGCATGCATGCAGCTTTGCTCCTGCAGTGCGTTGGTCCCTTAGGGGCAACATGGAAAGCACATGCCAAGAAAATGTGCGTAAAAATTAGTTTTCTTGTTGCAAGTCATTCTGATATCAAGAACAACTGGGATTTGCCTCGTTTGGGGTTTACAGAGATTTTGGTTTGGAAGGATGTGTCTAATTCAGGATGAACGATCTCCAAAATTCCAGAAGTCACACACTCCCATTCATGGAACTTGGAAGGCTGCAACATCTCACACACCCTTAACCCACCTGTAATATTTTCCATGCTTTTGTTCTTACTGGAAAAACACAAATTGTACTCTCTAGTGATAAAAATAAACTTGTGGGGAATGGATATGTTGGAGGGTTCCAGAATGCCGAAACTGCCCCCTCCCTCCCTCCCTCCCTTCGCTTACTTCAGTCCATCTTTTCTTTCTTTCTTAAAAAATTAACAGCGAAAGATGTGGGCCTGCACACACACATCCTGCGGGTCATGTGTTGCCCACCCCTGGGTTAATCACATGTCCAAGCAACACACATTACGAGTCCTGCATCACCTTTCAGTTCTGTCTATATCATGGTGTCATCAGGTTGTGGGTCTTTCAAGGAAACATGCAGAACATGAAGAAATCGCATCGCCAGTAAGTAGACTTTAATGTTATATAGAAGCAGGAAGAATCATCATCATCATCTTAGAACTGCAGAGCTGGAAGGGAGCCTATGGATCATCAAGTCCAGCCTATGTGAAGGCTGCCATTCTGACTGACAACCCTTGTAATGAGTAAAATAATCAGAGTACAAATGTCCCTCCATCAATCAGAGCTTCCACTAGAATAGAAATCTTATGATGCAGCTGACCAAAAATTGTCTTTCTCCCTAATAGAAATACCAACAGTTCTTTCTAGCTCAACTCCAGTGCCTTTAACAACTGTAAGAAAAGCAGAAATAGATCATTTTTCCCTCCACCACACAAAGGCCATCTTCTCCTGGGAAGGAGCCCTTCCCAAGAATAACAGTTGGCAAAGCAACCTCCTACCACTGACCTGTTATCAAGGGCCAAAGGCTTTTCCTTGTCACTTGGTAGAATTTTTGGCTGAAGGAAGAAGCTCCTCGCAGTCGTGATCTGCGTCACCATAAGTCCCACGACAATGGCAACTGTGAGGCTAAGAGAAGAAAAAGGAAACAAATGTTTTAGTTTTAAAAGGGTATTATAAAACCACAGGGAACTGAATGTGAAGATTTATTTCCAGTCAGAAAGAATTCACAGAAAGAGAATATATGTTATTCTCAGGTCTCTTGACTCAACAGCAACCTTAATAGGGGTTTTCAGGACCAATGAGAAGTTCAAGGAGTAGTTTTATTTTTGCCACTCATCCTGTGAGTTTTCATGGTTGAATAGAGATTCCTGTTGGATCTTCTGAGTCCTGGTCCAACCCTCCATCCACTGCACCATACAGGAAAAGCTCATTGTCAATTCATTTTTTTAAAAAAAAACAGAGCCATCTATACTGCTGCAAGCAGTTCAATTTAAGTGTCTGCTTAAATCAAACAGACCCAAATTCCCTGAGAGGATTTCACAGCCAGGGAATGTGCATTTCTTTCACTGTGGAGCCACACCCTGAAGCAATTATAAAATGGCCAGTATCATTTTGTGGAACTCTAGTAGCATAGTGGGAGTGACATGACTGGCAGGGCAATTTTCCTCTAATTAAAGAGTTCTGTTTTTTATTTCAGAGTGCACAAGACTCACATGCAATGAGACAAAATTGTGTACGCCCCAGAATCAAAAAGGAAACTCTTTAATTAGTGGCAATCTGCAGCTTCTGGTGTCATCGTCATTGCACCAGTGGAGCACCACAAGAAGATACAGAATATACATCCTGGCTATTAAGAAGTGATGAGTAATGCAACATAAAACACAAAAACATAACATTCACATTCCACATAAGAGATATTGGTATTCTCCAACCAGAGATTTGAGCAATGCCTCAATGGGGCAGAGTGGAAGACGGTCCCCAACCTTGGGCCTCCAAATGTTCTTGGACTTCAACTCCCAGAAATACTGGCCAGCAGAGATGGTGGTGACGGCTTCTGGGAGTTGTTGTCCAAGAACATCTGGCGGCCCAAGGTTGGGGACCAGTGCCGTACACCATACCACATTGCCCTTCTCCGGTGCCTAAGACAATTTAGTAAATTCAAGACTGAATAACTTCCTGGTTCATAGGTTAGCCTCAGTCAGTCAGCCTTAGCATATTAGCTGCACTAAAATGAAGGCCACTTACATTCCAGTTCCCAAACTTTTAACCACTTCTATCCCCTCACCGTGCTTGATCGGCAAAACAAAACTGTACATGAACAAGATTCCAAAGAGGCACTGTACTATGTGGAGGATCAGGTATCCTGAAAAAGAAAGCACAAATGGAAGAAGGAAATAAAGCACAAAAGGAAATAAAAGAGCAAGCTGAATAAATGACGCAAAATCCTTTCCCACAACATAGAACTTCACGTACCCCACAAGATGAATGCGATTTGCCAACCAGAGTATCTTGCTATTGATGCCTGTTAATATTTTAAAGAAAAATTAAATTACAATAGTTCATTATCTTTTCCCAATCTATGCTAAGGAAGAGAAGAACATAGTCATATATTGTCTCCGCAATACTACATTCAAGAAGGATCTTGGAACTGTAAAAAAAAGGAAAAAAGAAGAAAATGTTATTTCAGGCTGCATTAACAGAAGTATAGTCTCTAAATCCCATGAGGTATTTGCCCCCCACACACACCTCTATTCAGCCCCAGCTAGACCTCACCTTGAATGCTGTGTTAAGTTTTGGACATCACTCTTTAAGAAGGATGCCAACAAACTGGAGCAAGTTCAGAGGAGGGCAAGAAGGAAGATCAGTGGACTGGTATATTCAACTTTGAGAAAAGAAGACTGGCAGGAGATGTGATAGCACTTTTCAAATACAGTACTTAAAAGAAAGTCATTCAGAGGAAGGGAAGGTTCAGTTCTTGATCATTCCAGATTGAACATGTAATAATGACCTCAAGTCACAGAAAGCCAGATTTACATTGAACATCAGGAAAAACTTGTGAACTGTTAGAGCAGTACAACAATGAAACCAATTACCTCAAGAGGAGCTTTCAAGTGCCAGAGGCATTCAAGAGAAAATTAGGCAACTGACTGTCAGATATATTTTAACTTGGATTCCTGCAATGAGCAGGGGGTTAAACTCAATGGCCATGAAGCCCCCTTCCAAACTCCATTATTCTGCAATTCTGTTCTATAGTCATAACCTGACCTGCATTTCTAATGGAAATTTGGCAGTGGATCAAATCCCTTTTTATTGTCATCCTTAATAACAATGCTGAGCAGTGATGAAAAGACAAACATTTGGAAGCGTATACATAGAATTCAGCAATTGACATTCTACTTCACACCCCAGTGTGACCAAAAGCCTGGCCCCAACATGAACTTAGGCAGGCAGGAGAAAAGCTTGCTCTTTGCAGGACGTAAGGTCACCCAATGGGGTTCAATCATTAGTCAGCTGTGCGCTTGAAATTGTTCCTTTGTTTTCTCCCCTATGAGTAATAGCTATTGTTCATTCCTCTGCATTTCGGGATGTGGTTGCAAAGAGGGCAAAATATACTCTCCACTCTTTATAATGTTGTGACTCTCCCATTGTTGATAGCAGAGCCCACTGCATCTTGCTACACTTGCCATCCTGACAGGCGTAAACTATTTTTTTTAAAAAAAAAATCTATAGCCAGTCACCCTTTAATATAATGTAGCCCCCAGTTTTCCTTGCCCATGCACTGTTGATGCATTCCAGCTGCCATCAGTGGGCAAGGATGATGGAATTTGTAGTCCAGTCACATGAGGGTCATGATTCTCCACTCCTGCCACATGGAATCAGGCACTAATTAAGGATTTCAGGCAATCAAACAACTCTAAGTTGGTTATCCACCCACACTTTGAGCAATCAATCAATCAATCAATCACTATAATGACATTGAAATAAAGTTGTGCAAGCAAACTGCCCATTGCAATGATCAGTGTTGTCCTTTTCCTTTCCTACTACAGCAACATATCATACAAATGACTCTTTAATTTGTAGCCCTGTTTAGCAATCAATGTTTTTACTGATTTAAAATTTTGCACACAAGCACACATACGTTCTTCACACAGCCCTGTGACCCCACGGCACAGAAGAAAATAAGAAACACAAATTACTGACAGTGCTCATCTGGGTCACACAGGAAAAAGGGCAAAAAGCAGCCAAATAGGTCATATAAAGGCTATATTTATACAGGTCAGGGAGGATTTAAAGAAATATGTTTGGACACAGATTTGATATTCAAAGGGAACTGACCAGAGAAATGAAAACTCACCACACAGAGAGAAGATGAAATTTTTCCAAAGGCCAGAGGAAGGAATTGCTTCTGCCCTGCCCACAGCCTCTTCATGTGTTTTCTAGAAAAAGGAAGTAAAAGTCTGAGTCAGAAAATTTCAACATTCTTAAACAACAACAACAAACAATGCAAACTTCTAGACCATGTATTGCAGACATTAACGCTTAAGATGAAATTTTTCCAAAGGCCAGAGGAAGGAATTGCTTCTGTCCTGCCCACAGCCTCTTCATGTGTTTTCTAGAAAAAGGAAGTAAAAGTCTGAGTCAGAAAATTTCAACATTCTTAAACAACAACAAACAATGCAAACTTCTACACCATGTATTGCAGACATTAACGCTCTTAAACTGAGGCCTGAGATTGGACTAGGAAGACTGGCATGTCAACAAAAAGGTGTCCAGGCAGGCCAGAGATATGTAGTCCCTCCTGCTACACCTTGCTCCAGCACAGGTATGGATTCCCACAAATACAGGTACAAAACATGTCCTTACCTGTAGCAGGCTAAGATGTGGAACACATAGCTGACACACATCAAGCAGGCACTGAAGGTGGTGAACATCCAGACACCTGTGAGACAAGGAAGATGTGAGCCTTTCTGCCCCCCAATCCAGGCAAAAAAAAAAAAAAAACTTTCACAGCTAGCTTATCTTCACAGGTATGGAAAATACAAGTCTACCTGTAAGCCTCAGGACAATTTCGTGTGTATGTGTGCTTTTTCCCCTTGTTAAACAAAGGTCAGAATCCTAGGGAACACTGGTGGGACAGAGGGCACCACCAGAAAAATTTAGGTCCAGTCACAGTAAGCCCATAGGATCCCAGAAGCCTCCATATCAGCTAGAACAATACTGGATTAATAAAAAAATAATAACTTTTGTATTGCAGAGCTGGACGGGATCCTCTGAATCATCAAGTCCAGCCCCTGTCAAAGAGGCACGGGGTGGAATCAAACTTCCAACCTCTGGTTCTGCAGTCAGACACCTAAACCACTGAGCTATCCAGCAGTTGTGGCCATTGCAAAGCTGAGAACAGCAAAATGCAAGTCGTGCTGGACAGCCCAAGGGTCTGGTTAGTTCAGGCATTGGCTCATACAGTAGAAAAACAGATACTGAACATGGGGCAAGAGCACAAACATGAACAGTAGTTGTTGATCACTTTCTTCTTCACTAACCTGTAATAATAATTCATGAATAAGTGATACATGCATACTTACTATTTATAGCATTTAAATATTGTTTTAATGATGTAAGCTGCCTTGGGTCCTTTTGGGGAGAAAGCCGGGATCGAAATATTTTAAGTAAATAAATAAATATTAAATTAACCTGGCCAATTCCCTCTGAAAGCCATCAATCTGATGATGGTGACCAGTGTTAAACACAATATTCCAAATGTGGTTCAACCACAGATTTGTACAAAGCAGTAACTCTAGAGCTACTCTAGAAGTCTTCTTGGATGTCAGCTCCCATCAGTCTTAGCCAGCACAGCCAATCATGAAGGATCATGGGGGTTGCCCTCTGACAACCTGGAAGGCTATGATGGTTGCTCATCTTTCATGTAAGGACACCATGATATGGGCAGTTTTATTTTAAATTCTTGTCCTGATGGTTCCCCATCACAAAATCTGCTTTTTTTGGTAGCTCTTGTACATAGAATCAACTTTACATCACAGCCCTCTTTCTATCAGCTACTGCCTGCTCTGACCCCATTCATAAATATGTGAGGATAGGCATTTTTAAATATTTTATTTTATTTCATTTCATTTGCCCTAATGTGCATCACTTTACATTTACTTGCACTGAACAGCATTTAGCCATCGTAAGGCCCATTCCTTCAACTGAGGAGGCTCTTCTGAAGCTCTTTGCAAACCACTTGTCTCACAAGCACCCTAAATTCTGTTGTGCCACTAGCAAACTGCATAACTGTAACTCCAAGAAGGCCAGAATCTTGTTAGTTATGCTGGTCAGTGTCACTGTTATTGATATAGATCTCACCTGTGAATTGCCACAAGATAAGAAGTCAGGACAGACCCTTGGAGTTACACATTGAGTCACATAGCTCAGCGCTCAACAGCAAACACCTTCAACTGGCTTTTGAACCGGTAGCGATTCACAGATGACATTTATGCTGATGGGGTTAAGCTGACTTAATTTTTAAATTAGATTCCAATCATTACCTTCTCACTGCTGTTATGAGGCGCTCCCCATCTGGAAATGCCCTTAGTCTCACACTGTCTATGTGGACACCAAAACAATACCAGTGGAAGGAAGAGAGACATATTTAAATAGAAGGTCCATTATAGCCATTCTTGATTTTTTTATATAATTTTAATTATAAATGCAACTGCAAGAACTCTGAACAACTGGGAATTGTGAGGAACAAAGGCGATGTTGCTCAAATTAACCACCCACACCACTTGGTGTGGTCAGTGCTCACACTTGCAGTAAATCACAGATTTGGTGTGTGAAAGAGATACCATCGTACCTTCTGTGACATGAATGAATTCTGTGAAGCTCTGGATGCCTGCAACAGCTTCTGATGTGTTACTGGATACATTGATGGAAGTAGTAAATTCCTCAAGAAACATCTGCACATTCTTCAATTCATGCAAAACAAGCTTGTAAACATGATACTCAGTCACAACAAACTGGAAAACAAAAGGATAACAGAGAAAGATGTCACACGGGAAAGTTGTGTTATGCATCATCAAGGAGCTTCTGACTTATGGTGATCCTAACAGGGTTTTCGAGATATGGGAAATGAGCAGGAAATGGTTTGCCATTGACACTCTTCATGAATGTTCTGGGTCAAGTGTGGATTTGAACACAGTTTCCTGAATTCTCATCTTCAACACTCTATCCATTACCTTAAATGTCTCTCTATTCATGAAGGGGGGGGGGAAGGCACTCAGGTCCTTGGCTTACCATGTAGAGGCATATTAGGGCAAGCATAGCTGTGATGATCATTCTGCTGGGGAAATGAAAGTAAGGGTCCCATTCATATACCTTCTGCTGAAACCAGGATTTCTGAGGCTGCCTGTTGATAAAGGAGAACATATGAACAACAGCTAGACTCACACATTGGAGATTATCCATAACCACATCTTTTCTATGGTAAAAGAATTTGGTGCTCCAGGTTTTCCCAGATCAAAACATAGATATAAGAGACTCTTGCTCACATCACAAGCTGTTGCCCACCTCAGTAGTTCACTGGCCCTCCAGAGTTTTGAATCTGCAGCTTCCAGAATCCTTACCCATTGGCAATGTTTGGCTCTGACCTAAACATCCAGATGGTCAGGAATTAAGAACCACTGCCTGCACTCTGTTTCCTTTCCCTATTTAGTTACACGCCATCAGGTTGGAACTAACATATAGTGACCCCATAGGGCTTTGAAAGCAAGTGATGCGTTTAAGGAATGGTTTTACCAATTATACACATACCCAATGCATTTTCATGGCCAAGTGGGGATTTGAACCTTGGTCTCCAGAGTCCTAGTCCGTCACTCTATCCACTGCACCACGCTAGTTACCCTTTCTCCACCTACTATGTACAACATTCATGTGCTTTGTATCAACATGCCCTCCCCACAATGAACTAGATAATAAACTTGTTATAACCATTGCTTCTAAAACATTTGACAGAATATGGACAGCACAATTATATACATATTTGTTCAGAAATAAATCCTATTGTTTTCACTGAGATATTATTCCCAGCTTATTAAATGGTTCCTTTGTTACAAAATGCATCTCAAACCAATGGAAAGGGGAAGGACTAGATGGCAGGTTAACAGGATGGTGGCACTTTTGAGTCCCTGTGCATTTGTTTCCACACATGCTCGTCAGAGATGCAGGCATCTGCAACACAGATACTTAACAACTAGGTAGTTGGACTGTATTGTGTGCCACAAAGAAGATTCTGCAGTGGGAATTTTTTTTTCACGATTGAAATGGAAAATGCCCCATCCCACCCTGAAGTAATAGAGTCCTCCTCACTGAAGCTGAGGCTTCCTCATCAGTTGCTGGACATACTGGGCCTGATGTCCCTCCAGGAAAGAGGACTCCCCCTGCAGGAAAAGGGAAGGAGCTACTTATTATTCCAGAGATCACACTTTTCACCTGGCAGACTCAATAAATGTGGGAAAGGGTGAGTTTTCTGGACAACAGACATCTTGGAGATCAGTCTATGATACTACAATGATGTTGGTCAAGCAGCTAAGCAAACATCATAGAAATACAATGAATGCAGAATTTGGATTCAGTACATACATCTCCAGGAAAAGATAAAAAGTTGTTTCCAAAATTATCACACTTGAAGAACCTTTCTGATACCTGCCTTTCAAGAGATCTACAAGGGTACCCAGGGCAAAAGTGAAGACATCCTAGAATTCTGAAAGTTTCTTTGTTTGGGTGGAAATGTCAGCAATGATGAGCGCTTACTGGCTAGTGTCTATGTCATGATCAGCTCAGCCCACCTTCTTTTCCTTGAACGGTTTTAGTGTTATTCTAGGCTTTATCTCTCTCTCTCTCTCTCTCTCTCTCTCTCTCTCTCTCTCTCATGGAAGATAAAAAATAAAGCAGTACAACAGCACAAAGGGAAACCTGGGGGTTGAACCCTGAGAGGTGACCCATTGTTTATGTTAAGGCAAGCCATAAATCTCAAAGTATAAGCATAGAATCTTCCTTCAGCCTTAAGTATGTTATACAAAAGGAGTGAATGCAAGAAAATGCAATGGGAGGGGTGCTTTTCATAAAGAGGAGTGGAAAAGACATGGGCTATTCGCCCTGAATACTCACCTTAAGATGACCCATCTTGAGTTGGACCCATGAGGCATTCACAAACTTATAAGCAAACCTGCCCAGCAAGAAGACCTGGCAGAACAAAGAGGGCCAGTAAAAAATTATCTTCTCATAGGGTCCTGCAACCTGTGCAAAGGAAATCAGATCAAAGGGGTTGCCTCCTGGTGCCATGACAGACTGTGAGTTATTCCCCACACCCAGCGCCTCATTGCTTGTCAATCAGCAGAAGCTGGCTCACTCTTTCCTGCTCGCCCCCCAGCAGTATTCAGGGAAGGACTGAATGTACATTACAGTGGTGCCTTGCTTTACAATTGCCCCGCATTACGACGAAACCTCTTAACGGCGATCTTTTTGCGATCCCAATTGTGATCGCAAAACGATGGTCTGAATGGGGGAATTTCGCTTTGCGATGATTGGTTCCCTGCTTCAGGAACCGATTCTTCGCAAAATGACATTTTTTGAACAGCTGATTGGTGGTTTCAAAATGGCCACCGAGTGATTAAAATGGCTCCCCACTGTGTTTAGGGACAGATTCCTCACTATACAGGCAGCGAAAATGGCTGCCATATGGAGGATCTTTGCTGGACGGTGAGTTTTTACCCCATTGGAATGCATTGAATGGGTTTCAGTGAGTTTCAACAGGGTTTTTATTTTCACTTTACGATGTTTTCACTTAACGGCGATTTTCCTGGAACAGATTATCGTCGTTAAGTGAGGCACCACTGTACTTTGCTAGGCTAAAAGCTCTGGCCAAATGAGAAGTTATAAAGGGGCCGTTACAGTGGAACTTTTACCCTCTCTAAGCCTCCCAGGAGAACAAGATATGACTTTTCATCTTCCATCTTGTAAATCTTATTTATATTATTTGATTTGATTGATATCCCACTGTTCGCTCACCACTAGGACTCAAGGTAGCTGAAAACAAAATCATCTAAAAAGCTATAGAGGAATCCATAGAAAGGTATGTTAAAAAACAAATTACAGACCAAAATCCTTTTGGTGCAGCTCCATCAGCAGCACCCGTTTATCACAAATGAACAGTTTTGTACTTCTCTGCCACAGGCTCCCCGGCTCCCCGAGGATGCCATTTGACCTGGGGAAGCCATTGGGGGTTTCAGGACAGAGGGGGAGAGCCTTTCATATCTGAACTGGACCCAGTAGTGGCAATTTGGGACATTCTCCGCTTCCCAATCCCATTCTTCGCTTCCCAATCCCAAGGCCCTCAAAGGCTTCCGTAGGGTGACCTACGGCCGGTTATATTCTGGAGAGGCCCCCCCTGCCTTTATGGACTTCCTCAGATGCATAAGGAAGGAGCCCCCCCCTTAAACCAAGCAGCAGCAGCACAAACTCAGTAACATTGCTAAATACCTGTGCGCCATCTTAGCCCCATTGGTTGGACACTCGAACCACCACATTCACAACTCAGAGGAGTTTGTGTCCAAGGTCGGGGAAATGAAACTGAATACTGATGAAACCATGGTATCCTTTGATGTCACATCCCTCTTCACCAGTGTTGTCATAGCCCTAACAACTGTGACACCAGCGTTGTCATAGCCCTAACAACTGTAAAAAGGTGACTGGAAGAAAACAACACCCTCTCCACTAGAAGCACGGACTAGATATGCCTTCTCCTGGACCTCTCTCCGAGCACCAGTTACTTCACCTAGTATGGGGTCTTTTACAGACAGAAACATGGCTATGCTATGGGTTCCCTGGTGTCACCCATGGTTGCCAACTTATACATTGAAAAAGTGGAAAAGAAGGCACTAAACACCTTCCAGGGGACGACTCTGACCCATTGGTACAGGTCTGTGGATGACACCTGGGTGAAGATCAAGATTCAGGAAGTACAGGTCTTCACAGACTACATAAAGGCAGAGGATCCAAACATCAATTTCACCAGGGAAGACACAAAAGACAACTGGCTAGCTTTCCTGGAGTGTGAAATCATCACTGGATCCAACAGCAGCTTAGGAACAGAAATACAGAAAACCCACACACACTGATCAATACTTGCTATTTTACTCTCATCACCCATTGCAACACAAACTAGCAGTCATCAGGACATTAAACCGCAGAGCGAGAAACATCCCGACCTCCATAAAAGACAAGAAGGAAGATGGCCATCTGAAGACAGCCCTTAAGGCCTGCGGATCTCCAAAATGGGCCTTTAACAAGGCAATATCCCAACCCAGCAGGATAATGGAACAGCCCGAGATCCAGAGCTGATGGAAGAACCTGGTCATTCCTTCCATGGTGAGTGTGTCCGAAAAGTTCAAAAAGATTTTTGGTAAACACTACATACCTATGTACTTCAAACCCACAAACACACTAAGGCAGAGACTCATCCACCCAAAAGACCGGACAGCAAAACACAAAAGGAGCAATATAGTGTATAGGCTCCAATGCAAAGAGGAGTGTTGTTAGCTCTACATTGGAGAAACCGACCAGCCACTAAACAGGAGAACAGCCCAGCACAGGAGGGGCAGCAGCTCAGGACTATAATCGGCCATGTTCCTTCATTTGAAAGACAAAGGATACCAAAAATATCAGGACCACGCCCACCACAGAGACTGCTATTAAGGACTGACAATAGGTGGAGAAGAACTGCAGAGGTGGGATTTCACTCACCCCTCCCCCATCTTCGTCCATCTGATGAGCCTATACTGACCTGCTAGCTTGAGGACTTTCTTTCCCACAGTTTGGCCGGGGGGTCATGGGAGTAGAAGTCCTTTAATTCTGAAAATGCTATCCCTGGAGGTGGCCATTACCCCACCAAACAACGCAGGAAGCCTCCACGCGTACACTCAAAGGTTGAGGGTTGAACCAGATGCTAGGGTTTCCCTTGCCCTCCTCTGCTTCCCAATCCAGGCACATAAATTGTACACGACTGAGCTCCAGGAAAGGTCTATCTCTGCTTGATAAATATATGGGACATCAAACCTTTTGGCATGACTGCACAGGCACACACTCACTTGTCCATGTGGGCATAGTATGATGTGTATGTTCATGATCACAAACCTATAATAACAACAACAACAAATAGAATTTAATGGTTCAGTATTACAAGTCTGAGTCACAACACCCTTCAGATCTACAGTTGGATTCCCATCAGCTCCAGCTTGAGGGTTTCATCCATGTCCTACAGGAGCTCACCAGCACCAATAGTAATACAGACTTGGAAACATTTTAATATTTTATCTGTAGCCAATAAATGAAGCCACTCTATCTTTGGTTCTTGTCATCTGCTCACACCCACCTCCAGTCTCATCAAATGCCTATCATTCAAATGGGTGCTACTCAAACCAATGTTTCCGACTGCTCACCATGTTCCTGTGTAAAGGAATCCCAGCGCAGGCCCTGCAGTCTGGGAGTGCGTCGAAAGACAAGCGAAGAAAGGGTAGGAGGAGACTCCCACTTCCAGGGCACCAATGAGGAGCACAATGGCTGTAAGAAAACAGAAGGTGGGTCTTGAAATCCCCAGTGGGAAGGCACTGAAGGTAGAAATACAGAAAGGGATGGTGTCAGGAAGGTTCACAAGTCAACGGTGGAGCACAACATGCTTTGGTTTAAGGATGTTATGAATGCTTGCAAAAAAAATTTCAGTAGAAAGAAAATGGGCAACTATTGTGAGAAGGTAAAAAGAAACGACAGATGAAATAGTTAAAATTTGCAAAGGACAAATGAGAAGCAAAAGTAAAAGGTGAAAGAAGCAGGATCAGAAACCTGCATCAACTTTGGCAAATACGTCTTCACTTTAGAGGGGAAAACATGCTTAAACGCTCCTTCACCATTGAAAGAGGGTTCATTTTATGAGGCTGAGAAACAATTTCAACCTCTCCCCTCCAGGTTGGCAGGTGGCTACCCTTTCAACTCTTTGTGCCCACCATTCTGTTCATCTAGGGCTTGATCAGAGCTGCTGGATGGGCTAGACATAACTTTTTATCAAGGAGAGTTTTACCTTGCATCCATTTGGGCACCACTTGCAGTGGAGTGTAGCCTTCTGAAAACAGAATCATGACTTTGTTGGCGGTAGCCCCGAAGGCAAAACCCAGCGACCACCGATTTTTGAATGCCCCTGCAAAATCCAAGGGTCTATAAACAAAAACAGTCAATGTTAACAAATTCAAAAGAAAAGAAAGGGGGGGGGTTCAATTAAATTTTAAGACTGCCCTTATGGGAAGGACTCTTTGACAGTTAAGTAAGACCACATCAGGAAGTGAGGGACTCATCAAGGGTACAATCTGGGTAAATTTCATACAGTGGCAGAAGGTTGGACTAGATAACTTTGGAAGGCTCTTCCACTTTAATGATTCTCTATTTCTACTGATTCTCTATTTCTACAGCAACCCATTAGCTGTGTATGAGCACTCAACATCTGAGGGCATCAACCTAACTAGAATCTGAAGACAACAGTGCGGCTCATAATGGTGCTTAGTTGGGTTCTTGCATAAAAATAAGGAAGTCGTCTCCAGACCGTAGTTTGAGGATAGGTTTGTAGCCACCTTGTCTAAGTCTGGCCCATGAGTGAGTGGGAGACTGAGTAGGGACCAGACATGTAACTCCACAAGGGAGCAAAAAGCAGTTATAGCTGGACAACCCAATAATAAAGCTCCACTCTGAGTTCAGAGTGATTTGTTGCAATTGGAAAACAGCTTAACTAAACTCAACCTGCTCTTTTCATGCCACTCAGCATATGATATGATGCAAGTGTGGCATGATCAGGGCAAAAATAAGGTGGGTGCAGCAGCGGAAAGACTTACTACTAAGAACACTCCAGATTCCTAATAGCAAATAATAATTCTTATGCAATCAAACCAACACAGGCAAATCATATGCAAACCTCTACTGTCTTTTGCAACAGTGCCTGTGTGGCCAATCTCTTCAGAAGCCTTGCCTGTAAGCCCCACGTAGGCATCTGGCTGCCATTGGCTCCTATGTTATGTGGCTCCATGTGGAGTTCGCCCTCATGGCCCCTGTTTGTCTCCCAAAACACGGAGCTCACAAAGGCAAACCAAAACACCTCTTGATGCGCTGCCACCAGTCGATCTCCTTATCAACGTACTTTACTCAGGAAAGACAAAGGTCCATTCAGTACTGACTTTTTAACAGAACAGGTTTATTGATTACAAATGGTTTCTAGGATAATTCACAAGCATATTCCTTCAGTTTCACCAAGCATCAATATTAATCTTCTATATTAAATATCACAGACAAGATCTTTCCACTCCAAACATTCCAATACAGTTCCATTACATACTTTTCCTTTTAATTTATACTTACAACATTTAATATTACAATCCTACAGAAATATAACATATTCATGAAAATTTTATATAGATAATTAAACGGTTACTCCATAATCCATTCAGGTTTCTTCCCCCATTAGACATTTGGCCTTTGAGGCAAGATACCAGCATCCATACTCTGAGTCCCTTTTATGCTGTGAATTACAAAGTCCAAATCTTGCACACTCCCGTTGCCATCTACAGCTAATAAGCTGACTATCCAGGGAACTTTCTCCTTCCAGGCTTCCCTCTGCTACAGTATCCATTTCTACTGCAGTGGGTGATTTCTGGCCCCCTTGTAAGCGTGTAAATACAAAAGCACTCTTAACATGCTCTATCAAGTTTAAATCCTCTCCATACGTCAAGTCTCTATCAGTTATAGACCACTCTGGGTGTTCAGGGGTCAGTGGAATGGGATTCTCTCTAGCTTTTGTAAGACAATCATTTAAAGTACTATCTTCCTTCTGTTCACCAATACAGGAAGCACCATTAGGGGGTTTCAAGATAACCTTATCAGCCATTTCTGCTACCTCAGGGTTCTTCTCTAACCTGGGGCATCCCTTGTTTGATTCAGAGATTAGGGATTCCATTCTTCCCTCAGGGATTGTTAATTGCTCTCCCAGGGAACATGTTACTCTAAAAGCACTCTGCACATGCTTAGTGAGATCTAGCCCAATTAAACAAGGTGCTGGAATTTGATCAGAAATTGCCATATCCCAAATTCTGACCCAATCTCTATAGTTCATAGGTAAAGTCACTGGAGTAAAACTTATTCCCTTATTGGTAACAGTTTGGTTTGGAAGTATTTGTTCATTAGGAACCACTTCAGATTGACACAGGGTTATGTTGGAACAGGTATCAACAACTCCCACATAAGACTTCTCATTAATAAGAATCCTCTCAACAGGGTTCTGTACTAAAATATCTTCTGTCTTTACAAGAAAACACTGAACGACTTGGGCTAGTGGCAGATCAGAATTTTCTGTCGTGCTAGTTACCATGGAGACAGAACCATTGTTACAACTTCCTTCAGTGGCCTCCACAGGTTTCAAGCAGTAAAACTTTTTGGTCTATCATCTTTTTTCTTTTTTTATTCTTGTTTTTAGCACAATTTGACTGATAATGCCCGAACTCTCCACAGTTATAACACTGTCTAAAAGTTTTTCACTCACTCTGAGGAGACCTATTAAACTTTTCCTCAAGGTTCACTCTCTTCAGCGGGCTAGGCCCTGACAACTCAGGCAAGGTGCTACTCTGGCCTTCTTTCCCTGATGTGTTTCTGAGGTAATTTTTATTGAAGGGTCTCTTATTGTTGTCCCAGTTTTGCCTGTTAAATTTTACCTTAGAAAACCTGGGGTTTCTGGACTCATTAATGTAATCCACCTATTCACCTGCTTCTAGTAGACTTTTACGATTTTTGTCTCTGACTTTGTTGTTATTGTTATTTAGTCGTTAAGGCATGTCCGACTTTTCATGACTCCATGGACCAGAGCACACCAGGCCCTCCTGTTTTCCACTGCCTCCCCGAGTTTGGTCAAATTCATGTTGGTAGCTTCAGTGACACTGTCCAACCATGTCGTCCTCTGTCGTCCCCTTCTCCTCTTGCCTTCACACTTTCCCAACATCAGAGTTTTTTCCAGGAAGTATTCTCTTCTCATGAGATGGTAAAAGTATTGGAGCCTCAGCTGCAGAATCTGTCCTTCCGGTGAGCACTCAGGCTTGATTTCCTTCAAAATAGATAGGCTTGTTCTCTTTGCAGTCCAGGGGACTCTCAAGAGTCTCCTCCAGCATCACAATTCAAAAGCATCAATTCTTCGGCGGTCAGCTTTCTTTATGGTCCAGTTCTCACTTCCATACATCACTACTGGAAAAACGATAGCTTTGACTATGTGGACTTTTGTTGGCAAGATGAGGTCTCTGCTTTTTAAGATGCTGTCTAGGGTTGTTATCACGTTCCTCCCAAGAAGCAGGTGTCTTTTAATTTCATGGCTGCTGTCACCATTTGCAGTGATCATGCCTCTCAAACACATTAACATAGAACATGAATAATACATTGTTTTTTTACCTAACAAAGGATGAATGCTACACTCCACTTTATTCCAGGACTGAGACTGTACATGCATGTGAAAAATATTTCCTGATACAGTGGTGCCTTGACTTACAACCATCCCGACTTACAACCATTTCGAGTTACGACCAACGCCAGCCGCAAAATTTTGCTTCGACTTGTGGCCGGAGCTTCAAGTAACAACCAAAAAAAGGCAGGTGAGCCACCTGCTGCTTAGGGACCCAGCATCAGCGGCAGCATCAGCCCCGTGGAGGGCAGCGAGGAGTGTCAATGCTGCTGCTGCTGGGTGCCTGAGCAGCAGGTGGCTCACCCACCAGGGGTGCCAGACACCGCCTCCTGCTCTGGCACCGGCAATGGCTCCAGCAGCTGCTCGCCAGGGTGGCCATGTCAGGCCTTGGCACTCATCACCTCGCCTCAGTGCAGGGGCAGAGGGGCCCCAATCCCGGCTCCCAGAGGCAGCGCCGAAGGAAGCCTGCTAAAGTAAGATGCTGCTTTTTGCTTTTTAAAAACTGTTCTGGGTGGGTTTTGCAGGGTGGTCTTGGGCTGGGGGGGTTATGTTTCTGTACTGTGTTGTTTGTTTTTAGGTGATTGTTTTTTGCAGTCCCAG